GTAATTGAGCTAGTATGTGTAAAACACTAGAACAATTGCAAAACATATCATTTGTTATTTTATTATTCCAGCATCCAGCAAAATTATCAGCATACAACATTTGGAGCCCGAAGAAGGAAAGAAAGAAGAACAAGAATTCTGTAACACATTGGGTTTTCATTTTGCTTAAGTTTCTGAAAAGAACAAGTATAGTTACTACATAATTGTGCCAACAATTCCATTCTGGCCTTATTTCTTCCTTATCTCTAAATGGATTCTTCTTTTTAGGTTCTTCTTCTTTAGGCACAACTTATCCTTTCTGATTTATTTATTCTTTAAAAATTGTAATCATTGGCTTTAAGTAGGTGGGGGTATAAATTATATATAGAGAAAGTTATCGAATATGTAAACAATTAGTTCAATTGAAATATATTGTATAACTTTTAGGAAGAACCCTTCTTATACCTCTATCTTCAATTTGTTCCAAGTCTCTACTGATTCTTTCTTTCAAAGAAAGAATTTAATTATTTCATAATAAAGAGAATAATTTATCTTTATTATGCTCATGGCATCACCTGACGCTGAGAGTTCAACTTTTACTCTCTCACTTTAACCTTTTAATAGCATCTCTTCCAAGAAATTCTGGAGTGTTTTGGCATTTCTAAAGCAGATCAAAAATTAAAATAAATTGTATATAGCATATATATTGAAAGCACTTTTACAAAAATACTAACAGTGAGAAAATTATGACAGCAGAAGAGATCTGATTGAACCAACTCTTATCTTGCTTTTAACCTTCAAATTGCCCTGGGATTGGGCCAAGCTAACTTGGGGAGAAATTTAGTTTATAGTTTAAATGATAATATCCATTCCACAAAACTAAACCACCTTTGTAAAAGTAATGAAAGTTCACCAGGTTAGGAGCATGAACAGAACCTGAATTCTGCTAAGGTGTAGACATAAACAACTACCAGCCATTATTCCAGAGGTCACAAGATTTGGAACTTCCCCAATTACTCCTCAAATAATATCACTGCTGTAGAACCTAAAATTAGAATTTTGAGATGTCTTTTCATGTTTTTGCATTTCTGACAATCAGTAGCCCCACCTGAACCTATGCCTCCTGACTCAACTGGTCCTGGGCCACCCCTCCCCACCCCAAAGCAAACTCAGCTCACAAGGACCATTGTTCACAGCCCTATGATTGCATCCACAACAAATCAGCACCACCCATTCCTTTGCCTACGAAACTATCCTTGAAAATCTTTAGCCTCCTAATATTTAGGGAGGCTGATACAAGTAATCAAAGCTCTGGCTTCCTTATTAAAGTTCTGGTCTCCTTTTTAGCTGGCTGTATGCACATTAACCTCTTTCTCTATTGCAATTCCCTGTATTGATAAATTGGCTCTATGTGGGCAGCAAGCAAAATGAACCCATTGGGAATTTCACAATATCACCTAACATTCCTTCCTGAAGTTTTTTCATAGCTCCCCAGCATTTCTTCCAGGATTTGAGGATACCCACAATTTCTCCCACATGCTATCAAGCTCAACTTCTCTTAATACTTCTCAAAACAGACCTTTCAGCATATCACTTTCACCATCACAAGCCAGGGTCATGCCCAATCTCAATTATGTACTCCTTTCATATCCCCTTTCTCTCCACCTATTTGAATGGTTTGTATTCTCAAAGGTCAGTGTGTGACCCTTGAAAACCTTAACAAACTCTTCATCCATTAAACACGTTTCCTCATTCTATTTCAGGTTCTGTTGTATAAAGATGAACAGATCATAGTCTATGCCCTGGTGGGGTTTGTATTCTAGAAGTAGCCAGCAGGCTAATGGATTTCTGATAGAGAATGAGATGGTAGTGTCTGTGCATATATAAGGCACAAGAGACATGCAATGGAGGAAGGACCTTGCTTTGTGTGAGACCAAGAAAGATACTGGAGAAAAAGGGCATTTGGACTAACCAGTAAAAAACAATTAGAAGAATGCTAAGTGAAGGAACTAAAAAATATTTTACCCTAAAATGTATTTTAAGATGGTTGCCGCATGGCCAGTAGACTAAAGTGGCCCTGCAAAGCTATCTTTTGTGAAGGAAATTTAGATCCGTAGAGAATCTCCATTAATGCAGCCGACCTTCTCTTTATAGGCCTTTTCTGGATATAGAAGAGAATAAATGACAGTCTGACGCCCTTAAAGTTCTGAAAAAAGTCATTTACCACCTCTTCTCTCTGAGGGCTGCTATCTGTGAGATTTCATCCACATAACAAGACTCCCTTTGCGAGCCAAGCCTCTTTCTTTCTCCCCCACATTACCTGTTGATATGGTTAGGCTTTGTGTCTCCACCCAAATATCATCAAATATCATCTTGAATTGTAGTTCTCATAATCCCTACATGTCACAGGAAGGACACGGTCAAGGGTAATTTAATCATGGGATCAGTTACTTTCATGTGGTATGAGTTCTTATGAGATCTAATGGTTTTATAAGGGGCTTACCTTTCCTTCTCCTCTGCACTTCTCCTTGCTACCTCCATGTGAAGAAGGACATGTTTGTCTCTCCGTCTGCCATGGTTGTAAGTTTCCCAAGGCTTCCCCAGGGATGCTGAACTGTGAGTCAATTAAACCTCTTTCCTTTATGAATTACCCAGTCTCAGGTATTTCTTCACAGTAGCATGAGAACGAACCAACACACCTGTCTTGCCACTAAAACCTGATTCCTGTTTTGGCCATGCTCTGAGCCCTCATTCTTTCTGTGACCTCAAGATGATGTATAAGCTTCTGTATCTCATTGAGGGGTTGAGTTTTCATTCTGAAGGCTCTTGGGTATACTTGTTAAATAAATGTGTATGCCTTTTCTCCTACTAATAAATCTGCCTTGAGTCAGTGATTTTTTGGTGAGGAAAATCTTTCCTCCATTACACTTCTGTGGTGCCTTATTTACACATGGGCTCTATCATCTCATTCTCTATCAGAACTTCATGTGTCTATTGGCTCCTTCTAGAATACGAACTACATAAGGACAGAGATTTCCAGGTTCCTCAGGCTCCACATAAGCTCACAAGAGACATCCCTTCATTTCCAGAAAAAGAGAATATCATGAAGGTAATCTGTTCTTTCCTTGAATAATTGCTTTTTCCTGAATGCCCATGGCACTAAAGAAGACCTTATTTAGGACCATAATCATGTGAGGCTTTGATTTAAAAACAGGCATGGTGGCTTACTCCTGTAATCCCAGCACTTTGGAAGGCTGAGGCAGGTGGATCACCTGAGGTCAGGAGTTTGAAACCAGCCTGGTCAGCATGCTGAAACTGTCTTTACTAAACACACAAAATTAGCTGGGTGTGGTGGCACACTTCAGTAATCCCAGCTACTTGGGAGGCTGAGGCAGGAGAATTACTTGAACCTGGGAGGCGGAGGTTGCAGTGAGCTGAGATTGTGCAATTGCATTCTAGCCTGGGCAACAAGAGTGAAACTCCAACTTAGATGAATAAATACATAAAATTAAAATAAAAACTCTTTATGAATGCAATTTCTGTGTAAATGTAACTAGACCCAGTTTCAGCTGCTGGCTGCTGGAAAGCCAATGCATAAGAGCAAGGGCCGGTGGGAGGAAAAGTAGTTCTAGTTGGAAAGCCAGCACACCAAGAAGATAACCTTGCTTTGTGTGAGGCCAAGAAAGACATTGGAGAAAAATGGCATTTGGACTAACCAGTAAAAAACAAATAGAAGAATGCTAAGTGAAGAAAATAAACACATTTCACCCCAAAATATATTTCTTTGCCATATTTTAACTAGTGAACTAGCATCTGAAGTGCCATCTTAAATTTTAAAATTCACCCATAGGGTTTTGAAAGAGAAACTTGGCATGGGACACCCTGGGGCAGGGTGTAGAGTCCGCATGTCCTGTTATGATGGCTACCTTGGGTGTCTGGAGGTTTGGGTGGCATTAGTTTGACTTCAGCCCAATGGTGGTTCAAGATTTCTCCTAAGTGAGAGGATTTCTCAGGGCTCTGTGCCTGGTTTATTTCAAGATTAGCCTCTGGAATTTCTTAAGCAAGATTACAACAAGATAAACATGTATTACCAGAGGGGAGTGTGCAGAGAGGGGAGGAATGAAGAGGTGAGAGGGGAGGAAAGGAAGACAAAGTGGATGATTTTAAAAATTGAAGTCCAGAGTTACATAAGTAGCTGTAAGTTAAGAAATATGTCTTTCATATTCCTCTCAATGCTTCTAAAAAAACTTTAATAAGTGACACACACACAAAAAAGCTGTTAGATGTTTTAGCTCAGAATGTATGAAAAAGATTTTAACAAAATGTCAATAAAGTATATTACACATTTTGATATTCAGAAAGGCAGATCAAAAACTGTGATCCAAGTTACTCTACCTCAGCCTGTATGACATTTTTGAAGACCGACACAGCTCAAGCCCAGATGATGCTTTGTTCCTTAAAAACAGTGAGTCACTGCTAACTGTTTCAAGGTGCACCAGAGTGATGGGAATTAACACAGCTTGGAATGACCTAGGAATCTGGTTAGCTCAGTGACCACCCAGAATATACACAATGAATCATAAGCTCCCTTATTTCTCACACTCAAAAACAGGAACATTCTTTTTTTCCTGCCAGCATTCCAGCTGATTGAAACATGCATTTCTCCACTAGAGGCCTTAGCCCTATCAGAAGCACTCCCAAAATGATATCAAGATGAGAAACAGACAAGTGACAGTGGCCCTCCCATGTCACATGATACCCAGAGACTGAAGTCATGTGACACTGAAACCAAGGAAAGTCAAACAAGAGGTGACTCATATAGGAACACCAGGGTGAGAAAAGGGAAATAATCATTTTCTATATATTGGGATTTCTTACTAGAAAAACACAATGATATAATTTAGTAATTGCATTTGTGTCATGTAAACAAAAACAAGGAAATAATCTCATAATCACAAAGGCTCCTTAGCTGGGTATAAAAGGGGACATGTAGCAAGGAGACTCACAAACTCAGGAAACTAACTCTCCTGGAAACCCACCCAGAACATCCACCTTCTAACACCATGGTCAGCTCCTGTTGTGGTTCCGTTTGCTCTGACCAGGGCTGTGGCCTGGAGACCTGCTGCCGCCCCTGCTGCTGCCAGACCACCTGCTGCAGGACCACCTGCTGCCGCCCCAGCTGCTGTGTGTCCAGCTGCTGCAGACCCCAATGCTGCCAGTCTGTATGCTGCCAGCCAACCTGCTGCCGCCCCAGTTGCTGCATCTCCAGTTGCTGCCGCCCCTCTTGCTGTGAATCCAGTTGCTGCCGCCCCAGCTGCTGCCAGACCAGCTGCTGCAGGACCACCTGCTGCCGACCCAGCTGCTGCATCTCCAGCTGTTGCAGACCCCAGTGCCACCAGTCTGTGTGCTGCCAGCCCACCTGCTGTGTCTCCAGCTGCTGCCGCCCCTCTTGCTGTGAATCCAGCTGCTGCCGCCCCTGCTGCTGCCTGCGTCCAGTCTGTGGCCAAGTCTCCTGCCACACCACTTGTTATCGTCCCACCTGTGTTATCTCCACCTGCCCCCGCCCTATGTGCTGTGCCTCCTCTTGCTGCTGAGCTCCTTTCCTGAACCTGCCTTCTCCCCTTCATTTCACTCATGACAGAAGCAAACCTTGCGCATCTCATCGACAACTCAGGAGAGGCCATCCCCACCAACTGTGTCCATATCCTGGACATATATCTAGGATCTATGTCCTAGATATACATCTAGAATATATGTTCCCCATGTTGACCCAAGTATGAAATTAGATGTTATTTACAGCAAGAAATTAAAAGAATTTACAAAATTGTATACCCTATATTTTTATTTATGGATACCAAGTCCTTCTGTTCCAAATATGGAAATTCTTGCAGGGCTAGTCAAGGCAAGGATGTCTCACTGTCAGATCTGAAAGTCTAATGGTTTCACCCTATACTTCCTTTTACAGCAATGTTTGTGTATCTTATTTTTGCTGATTCTGAATAAAACTCCACTTTCATCACATAGAAATACAATGTTCTTTTTGCATTGCTTTGTAATGATTGTCCTCAGTTCCTGAGAAATTATAACCAAAACACAACTGTAGTTACATAGAATGAATAAATTCTAAAAATTTAATATACAACATGTTGACTACAGCTAATAATACTGTACTATATGCTCGAACTTGCTAAGTGAGTAGATATGAAGTGTTTTCACAGACACACACAAAGGCAACTATGTGAGGCAATGGATATGTTATTAGCTAGCCTTTAGTAATCCTTTTACAGTGTATATCAGAATATTATATTGTACATCTTAAATAATATATATATATATGTGATTTTATAATAAAATAAGTAAAAGCAACAGGGGAAAAACAACACACACTTTCCCAAAAAGAACAGGAAGCCTAAAATCTAACAGAAATAATGGAAGTGAGAAGACAATGAAGAGACATCTTGTGAAGGAAAAGACTGCCGATGGGGAATTATATGCCCAGAGAGACAAAAAAGATAATGAAATTAAGTTATTTTCAGGAAAACAAAATGAGAGAATATGTTAACACCAAACTTTACTAAAAGAAATAGACTAGGACAGGCTCTGTGGCTTACGCCTGTAATCAGCACTTTGGGAGATCAAAGTGGGTGGATCACTTTGAGGCCAGGAGTTCGAGAGCAGCCTGATCAACATGGTGAAACTCTGTCTTTACCAAAAATACAAAAATTAGCCAGGCATGGTGGTGGGTGCCTATAATCCCAGCTACTCGGGAGACTGAGATGGGGGATTGCTTGAACCCAGGAGGAAGATGTTGCAGTGAGCTGAGATCACACTACTGCATTCCAGCCTGGGTGACAGAGCAAGACTCTGTCTCAAAAA